AATAAAAACGGAATTCCTTTGAGAGCAGTTAAGTCTGGTGCTGTCCATTGAGGAAATTGTATACCAGGAACTGACCGGTGCCACAGTACTGCGTTGCAAAGAGTTTTCCATCAGGAGTGGGGTCAGAGAAAGCGATTTCTTCTTTACTTAAGTATGAACCATAGATGAAGTTGCTCCTGTTTAAAATGGAGAAAAAAAAGAAATTAAAAAGAGAATTACCTTGAGGGAGTACCGCAAGAACATTTATGCTATTAGGCCACAAACCATTAATTAAGTGGCACAGGTCTATTAGGAGGCAATGGCTCTATTTATATGAGCTATCTCCTCCTTCCAAATGGCAAGGAGAATCACTTGTTCTGGGAAGGGTTTGATAAAGTTTTAGTATTTTTACAGAGCAATCACTTGTCAGCTGCATCAAAAGTTCAATTTCAGAGTTTAAAAAAAAGGTTGAATTCATTCCATCTATTTCTTCATCGAAAGCGACCACTAGAGCCGTGACTACAATCACTAGGACTGGAAACATAACGCTACCACCAAGTCAGGGTGCTGCCAGAGGGGGCTGAAAGGACCTGATGAAATTTCAAGTTCCTGGTTTGAAAAAAAACATTTGACATTTGGATGAGAGCACTTCTTGGATTAATTTAGAACATCTAAGAACACAACCTTAAGGCATAATTAATTCCTAAGTGATACGCTTTCGGTAATAACTGTATGAAAAGGAAGATTCAATTTGCTTAACTTCTTCAGGAAAATATTTTACATATGTTTTACTATTCTTTGAAGGAAGAGGAGAGAATCAAGGGATAGCCATCCAGAAAAGTACGATGGTATGTGGGCAAATTTAGAAAACTGATCTCAGGCTTTAAGACCTCAGTCAGGGGAAGGAGGATGTAATGTTTATCCTTGAAAACAGAAGAAACTACCATTAAAGTTAAGTTTTGTAATTCTTATAAAACAAGCTGAGATGTACTTGCAGAGCAAGTATGCACTTTGATTGTATATGGGCATCTCCATGAAAAGTTAATGATCAAGTTAATGTGCTTATCTGAATGCAACTACACAGTTGAAAGTTCAGACAAAATGTGATCTGATAAGAACTTTCTAGTAGCTCTGCCAGCCATGCAAAATGCAGAGCAGAATAGCTTTGCCAGGGTCTCCGAGTACCCAAAAGGGTGAGAATTGGCAGACACAGGAGTAGCTGTGCCTCAAACTCCAACAAGATGGGGCTAGCCAGGCACCTAGCACAAACATGACAGCCCAGCAGTAACAAGATTGGGGTAGTTCTTGGCATTACTCAGAAAAGAGGTTTAAACTTCTAGGAAACATCACTGGAAGAAACCTGCAGTCTGGAGATTCAACTATTTAACATTTGTCCAAACAGTAGCACAGATGTTTTGAGTCCTTTTATGGATCTAGCACTTAGCGTCCACCTGAATACGCTCATCTCTAGCTACTAAAGCTCCATGGAAATTGAAAATATCCCATCAGGCTCGATGTACCCGAGTAAAGCACACACACACACAAAAAAAAAAGTAGAGTTGGAAGCCACCAGACTATATCAAATCATTCAGTGCACTCGTCTCTGTTCTTTCCCCCTTTCCACCTCTAAGGAATGGACATTCGGCCAACGATTAGGTCACAGTCCTTCACACTTGGGTAATCTCACACTTTGACCAAAGACAGTCTCCTTTCCTTCACTCATGATTACCTCAGAGGAATTTACCCTGGCCCACTGGCAGCCTGCTGGGCTGACTCATTACAACTGCACTTGGCTTAACGATTTCTGTTAAAGAAGTTATTGCACAATACTGGCATTAGTTATTGAACTCCACATAATACCGGAACTGTCAACTGTGCTCAAATCTACATCCCCAGTATCGCCAGCAGCTTAAAAACACAAGCTTGAGACACATAAAGCAATAAATGTCTTGGACTGAGTTTTATCTAAAACACATGTAACCGAGGAACTTTCTTGGTATTACCTAAGACATTCTATCATCCGAGAAGCAATCTTCTTTCGACGCATCATGCTGAATACCCATATTCGACTAATCCCACAAATAGCAGGTTCTGGAGAGGTTGAACAGCACCACGCTTTCTGTCTTTCAAATATGACTTTCTCATTTTCTGAACTGACTTCTGGAAGCTTCTCTTCTATAACTCTGTAGCCCTGCAGGTGATTATAAAAAATATTTGTCACTTTATAAAAGCATCACTAATGACCGAACAAAGTAATTCTTCTGTAATTTATTTCAGTTAAACATATTTGCTTGCTAAAGTGCCTTACCAAAAAGACTGCCTACTTGTGTCTCATTTAATTTCTCTTAACAGTCTCAAAATTGGAACAGATGATAAAAGATTAAACCAAAAACCCCTCTAAAGCTTATCTGATTTAAAACAGCAACAAGTAATCCAATTCTTATTACCACCTGTAGTAAAGTGTTTGCATCAATTTCTCTGACTTTGGCTAAGACTGTTTTGCTTCTTGTCTGCTACTCCCGAGGGACAGTAGAAACCACCACCCTTTACAAGGGAACAGACAGAATATGCAACAGAGTTCTGACATAAGTCATCAGTACTCCAAGCGGCGGCACAACTTCTTGTCCTGCTCTACACTGCACAGTTCTGCCCTCTGCTTCTGGTCGCTGTGGAGCCGTTTGACCCCTCAATGATTCAACTCAGTCCTACAGAGTACCCACGCCTCCATCCACGTTGGATTTCTGCCAGGCAGGGAGCTGAACGTGCTTGTCCACAAGCACAAGCAGGGCCCAGCTAGAACTGCAGAGGAAGAAAAATTCCACCCTTTGCCTGTAGCAAGTTCTTCGACGAGCAGGCCTGAGCCAAGTATGGCACCATACCCGTGTCTCGGCTCAGTGTCAACTACAGAAAAACAAATAGCTACATTTCAGAATGGTCTACCACCAGAAGTCGTCTCCTCCTCTCTGGAAAAGGCACACCTGAAATACTTATTTGCTAAGACAAACTATTGAGTAATTCTATAGTTTCAGAATGTCTGAAGAACACAGTCACTAAGCACTGGCACAGATTGCCTTTCTCCAATTCAATCACTTACCCACTGGATATGTTCTGCAATTAAACAGCCGATAACTTTTTTGTCGTTAGAAATAAAAAGAAGAGTTTTAGTTCTAGAGTAACACATGAGCGGAGCTTGCTGAAATCCCAAGTCATTGTCTACCATTTCTCTAATTTCTTCAACCTGTCAAAATAAGTTCAAATGCTGTTTAAGAAACACATGTAAATATACATTTGTATAAATATACATATTTGCAAAAATGCACTAAGGTATCTAGAACACTGAAAGCTATTCCAGAAATTGAGGATTACCCTAAGTAACCTGCAACACATCGGTCCACATAAATGTCCCTTAAATAATACTCTGCTGGAAATAGGAAGAGTAGAGACCTCTAAGTCAGCTTCTATGAAGTCCAAACTTCAATTAGTCAAAGGCTAATAGAGATATTCTAGAAGTAAATAAGATCTATGCCAAAAGTTAAGCTAGCTTAGTTGAAGGGTTTGTGTCTTATTTTTCAAGGCTTGAAAGAACTAATCCATCAAGGGCTTTGAGCAGACGACAGCAAGCACAGTGACAAGGCAGCTAGGAAATGTCTGTATTTGTTATAAACGAAGCAATAACTGTTGTCTCCATCCTCAAGCTTGCTGCTCTTCTACTAGCTTTGCGAAGAGTAACTGAAGCCAAAAATAAAATTGTGTTTAATATTAGTAAGTTTAGAAGAAATACATGAACTCCAGCATGAATGTAAACAAAAGCTTACGCATGAGCTGAGTTTTTACTGGGGGATTCTTGTACCTACAACCGAGCATTGAAACAGCTTAAGCTTCTTTAATGTATGTTGTACTTAAATTAGTAAAGCAAAACTAGAATTACTGATGCTATGAATATATGAAGTTATTGCTGTTCAAATGAAAATTGTGTTAAAAAAATGCTTTTAAAATAACTTTTTAAAGGTACGGTATTAATTACTCTCTATTTACTCATCTATCCTTCAGGTCTTTTAATGGCAAGTCTAATTAGCCAATTTGAAATACTAAGTAGCATTCTTGAAGCCAGCGATCCACAGTGGTGACAGTTGTGGATTCTCTCAACTTTAACCACACAGAACTACAGAGCGCTCTATCCTAAATGATTTTGTTTGCTACAGTCTACCTTTCCTCTGCCCCACTTAGGTATTTTAAGAAATTTTTTCTTCAGTTATTTTAGTAAAAAACATGCAATGAACGTACTAAAATTAAGATAATCTCACCAGAGAAACAAAACTTAATAAATAAACTTATCTGCATTAAACACTGTAAAAAGAAAATTGGTAGTTTCTTTTCAATTCAATAACTTAAAAAAATCCTACGTTAGTCTAAAGAAAACCCACTACAGTCACGCCACCAGAAAAAACTGTCTTGGGCATCAATTCAGCCTCAGGAGGTCCCGTGCAACCTCAACAATTCTGTGATCCTCTGACAGTGGTACTGTAAAAAAGTACCTGTTAGTCAGAGCAAATCCCCAGCTAAACAGAATCCATGCCACGCCACTGAAAAAACAAATGTAATGCCATGTTAAGATGTATGAACACAGGCTGGCCAGCAAGGCACTGAAGTACCCTGCTGCTCTAAGTCTCCACTAGTGTACTGTGCCCAGTTTTAGATAAAGGGTTTCAAAAGACATGAGACGTGGCACAGATTGTCATACTCCTCTCTAGATTATTTCTATGATCAGAGCTCTATAAAACATTATTTAGGAGTATAAACTAAAAAACAGCACATCCTGTAAATCTCTAAGATGAAATAGAGTTTGTTCAGGAACAAAAAAGCTGCTGCAAAGAGGAAAAGGAGGATGTTTTCTACAGCTGTGGCAGTGTGATGGGCACCAATAAGCTTAAATTGCAGTATGGAGATTCTGTTAGACATTTAGGGGAAATTTCCTGATGTCACAGATAGTGAAGCACTGTAACAGAGTCTGAAGAGGTCAGCAAGACCTCCAATGGTAGAAGTTTTAGAAAACTGTCAGATGGATCATAACCAGAGCTCATCCTGCTTTGGAGAGGGGAGTGGACTACATGACTTTGAGGCCACTTTCCATATAAATCTGGTCTTACCCAAAAATCATTTCGAGAATGGTGCCACATGCCTGCTGTGTAATAAAGTCACGGAATCACAGAATGGTCAGGGTTGGAAGGGACCTCTGGAGATCATCTAGTCCAACCCCCCTGACAGAGCAGGGTCACCTACAGCAGTTTGCACAGTCAACACATTTCAATGTGTTTAAATATAGTAGGAAGTTTACATTACATAAAACATCTGGCAGACATTCAGCAAGTATATTAAAAATTTTTTTTAAAAAATAATCAGTTGGTTGATGCTGTTCCCACCCCTGCCTTCCACTCCTCCTCAGAGCCATCATCTCTGTGAAAAGAGCAGCAGTGCGTAAGAGTGAGATGTCCAACCTGTTTGTGGAAAAAGCTACAGAACCACTGCAGTTTTGAGTCCAACTTCAACTGCTCATACTAAGTTATACAAACTTTACTATAAACATTTTCATTACTTATATGAAAACATCAAACAAGGTAAGATATACCTGACTAGTCCTTTTCACCATACCTTTTTAAGTGCATATTTTGGGTCATCGGGAAGAACCATTATTATCTTTCCATCAGGATATTCAGCCAAAATTCTCTCCTTTTTCCAACCCTAAATAAAACAAACACTTATCTAAACCATACACAAGATGTACTTTTACAAACAAAAATTGCATATTATTGCTCTAGACACTGAATTTATGCAGACTTCACACTATTTAGCAGTTGCTTTGCTAGAGAAGGAAACTTCAGCTAGCTTTTTAAAAGGAGCACAACAGATATAACGTGATCTTATTGACACAATAATTTATACAATAGCTAACTACATCTAGAAACAATTTGTGAAAGTGTCTTATAATTTCCCAGCTAGATTTTTTTCCCCCAGGACTGCAGTGCAAACTGAATTTTAAAACAGACGTGGCAAACTTGGCTCACATAACTGATTTCCAAACCTATGTAACACTTAGTTTCCGAAGTCCAGTGAATGGGAAAAAGCCTAAGTTTTATTAAAAGATTTCTTTTTAACATAGTTACCTCCACAAATACACACTCAGTTTTAATGTTTGGCATGCGAAAGACCTCCAGGAGGTTCTAAGTGAACTGATTGGCATGCAGTTGCCCAAAATGTAAGGAATAGTTTATTTTGTTACTGATCATAACTGTTAAAGCCACAAGAAGGATACTAGAAAAAATTTTATAACTACCTTCTAAGAATCTAATGGGGAAGGAGGCTACGTTGTGTGTATCTGAAGTATAAACATACTCAAAAAAATAGAGGTAATTAACTCTTCTTCAGATCCACACTCGTGGTGAATAATGAGCAGTACCTGCATGGAAAAAAACAAAACAAAAAAAGCCACTTAAATCTAGTAAGATGGGACTGGTAGATATTAGAACTCAAGTTGCTTTGACGGGACCTAAAAATACTGAATGCAGAAGTAAATTCAGCCACTAAAAAGGCTGATCTACAAGTCTTACTCAAAGCAACTTCAAATAAAAAAGCCTTTGAAGAAACAATATTGATGGAATAATTCTCATTGAAATCTGCACCTTCCCATAAAATAACGTTTAACTAAAAACCAAACAATGGAATTTGGCAGAGAATGAATGCCATATATACTACCACAAAAAGTGACAAACTTAAGTGTTACAGTACTTGATCTGTATCTCATTTTAATCATGCTGATTTCACTCCCTTACCCCAAACAAGACATGATGAGAATAATTTTAGGAATGTGTCTACTTGCTGGTAGCCCTTGAACTATTTAAGTATAAATTTAGCACCCAGCATGGCAATGGTTACAACACAGACACCATTTTAATCCTGCCTGCTTTTCTTCTCAATAGTAGTTGCACTAAATACCAACACAAATTAAGATCCTATTTGAATCTATATACGTTATGGTCTGAACACAAAGGCTATTTGTGGGATTGCGACATGCTTTTTGAAACTGTTAGAAAAGGCATCAAAGATTCAGGCGAGGATTACTCCTCTCCAACCTCAAATACCATTCTCTCTCTCTCTTTTTTTTTTTTTTTTGGTATTCTGCTGCCTTTTGGCTACCTGTTTACCCTGCAAAAGCTTTCTATCGCCTATTTTAAACCAACTGCAACCAGCACTCAGCAGACAAACACGATGTGTTTGACAATGCTACCATTACAGCATCCAGAATGTTGCAGGCCTAATGCAGACCATTAATCTCTAAATTTTAGGTTGAAGGCCCAGTGCAGAAAATTCAACCCTAAATTTTAGGTTAAGGTATCCTGTTAACATTATAGCCAGGTTACTTCCAAAAAAATGAAATCTGATGGAAGAAAGCATTCCTGAACATCATACTGCTGTTACACTCTTAAGCAACAGTGTATTAGCAAAAGTCTAAAACTACTTCTGTAAAACAGCAATAATAGATTCTTTAATAATTAGTACTCATTATTTTCATTATTATCCACCTGTTCATTTTCCTAAGTGATTCATATAATATGAGGACTGATCATATTCATAGGAGGGGCAGTTTCCAAATCGAAGTATTACAGAATTTATTCAGGACCGTATCTTTTAGATGAAGCTTTCCAAAAAGCTTCTGCAAACCCATCGCTCATCCAAGATTTTTAGTGAAGACATTTTAAAGTCATATTCCTTTGTTACTGATGCAGCTCTAAGGATTTCAAAAAGAAAAAAAATAACATTTCACACAAGTATCTGCATCTTCAGTATCTTTATTGTTCAGTTTTAGTAAGGAATGAACTGTGCTTCCTTTAAACCAGACAAGTGGAAGTAATGCACAGGATTGGTCACAGCTCTGTCATACACTTACACTAAGGCTGTTAAGGAAAACGTGCTATAGCTTCAGCTGGGACCGACCCTATTAGATACCTACAATACACAAAATATGCTTTAGTACCAGTATCTTCCATGTGGCCTGAAGATGATATCCCTTAATAAACCTATTAACTTTTTTTTGGTATTAAACAAACCCTCCTATTTAAACACTATTAAAACAAAATACAACAGCTTGCAAGGTATTTCAATCACTGAGAACTAAAGTAGGACTCCTTCACTCAGGCAGATGGCAAGAACACTTTACTGTAGTAAGAAACGGAAGCATTATGTCTGCAATATACTTCATAATATCCTACTGCAAAAATTGCTTTTCCTTTCCTTATAATTGACATTACTTTAGGGCATTAAGACTTATTTGCTGTGGAATCAGATGCCCAAGCATTGATATACATTGCCTGTGATGACCAAAGAAGTTAAAAGGAAAGCTATCGTTCCCACCAGGACAGATGTTCTGCAAGGCCTGGAGTAAAAGAACATGACTATACCACTCCACCCTGATATGGGAAGTCCATGCTCAACAACAGACTACCTATAGCCAGCAGCAGCAAGGCACATATACTTTAATCACCACATCTGGACAGATTGCTGCTGCACAGAGCCCCATTGGTGTGTAATGACTGTTTCAATATCCTCCTGCACAACACATTACAGCTATTTATCCTTGAGGTATTTGTAATTGTTTGAGAACGTAAGGCAACCCTGCAATGCGCAGTTAACTCCTTTGTAATCTACCTCTAACTTCTCCTTCCAATTCAAACGAAACTGAATATTGCTTCTGCTTGTTTATTAAGGTGCAATGGCAATAGAATTGCAAAAGAAAGAAATAATTCAAAAAAGGACAATACAGACAAGCAGTAGCCACCACATTCTGAAATATTAAGGGCAGTAATTACCACTACACTGTGTAGTACGTTGCTTTCACTGGATATTATATAAGTATATAACAAATGATGTGTAATATGGTTGTAAAGATGGCTCCAACATTAATAGTACAGTAACTGAAATGTTCAGCACTCAATTGCACATGAACTATGTTCTGCTTATAGTTTAAAATAATCTCTGATGTAGATCTGTCTTTCAAAGCCTAAGTTAGAAGACACAACAGACTGCTTCCCGTGCATTTCCTCACGTCTTAAAAGTTGTTACCTAAATGTAGGAAATGGGACAGCAAACCTGGTATCTATATACGTCAGTTCTGGCCCATCTGTACTCCTTATTTCTCAAATGAAGACAAAGACATGAAAAGCGGTGGTGGTTTCTTCTTATACCATTTTTTCCTCAAAAATATTGAGGTAGTGAGAAAAATGTGGTTCATATTGTATAACTCTTGGGTTTTGCTAAGGAAAGTGCTTATGCTAACACTAATAAGTGTTTATGCTTGTGTTTTTTGCTAAGAAAAGCGTTTATGAAATTTTCCCCTAATAATCAAGTTCAGTATGAATTTTTGTGCACTTTTATCCTTGATAATTTGTAGCACAGAAATAGGTCTACTGCATTCTTCTTCCTGACTCCTTCATCAAATTACAGATATTCTGCCTCTCTTTCCTATGAACATAATAAAGAGAATGAGGTTTTGACTGTAGAACACATTAAGATTCTTGGATGTTAAAACTAAGATTCTCAGATAAGACAGCTAACAGCAAGAACTTTATTTGAAGTACTATTAAGTTTTATGTTGTGCAGATGTATCACTTCTGGAATTAATGCAAGTCAAGACAAGGATGAAATCTTTCTAAAATGACATGAAGTTCACCGTCATCTTCAATCCTGATATGCTATTAACCTTAGGTCCCAAGAAGTCAGATGTGGCTTTTTTTTTTTTTTTAATCTGAAAATCCTCACAGATGGGCTTGGATGCAGTTACAGCAGAATAGCTATTTAAAACTTATCAGATTAGACATTAGCTCAAATAACAGCTTCTTCCACTTTCTTCAGCTCAAGATATTCTCAACTAAGAGGATGATCTTGAAATACAAACTCACCCACTGCATTCACATCAGGCACCTGAATACACAGGCATTTCCTAACTCAAGTTTTTAGCTTTGCAACTTAAAAACATCATTAAAAATAATATCTTGCTCTTAAAAAAATTTTGCGAAAATATTAAGTCGATACTACGTGGTATCACAGAGAGGATACACAATTGATATTGTGTGGTATCACAGCTAGAAGATTTTATAAAACTGAACCACGTGTCTGTCCCACAAAGTTACCCACCCCACTGGAGTTAACACTTGATGTATATGTCATCACTCAACGCACATACATGCTAGAATGGCGTATTTTTTCTGGAGACTTTCAGATGTCTGAAACCAGAAGGACAGTAAGACAGATTGCTACATTTGTCTGCAGTAGGGGACATCTCCCACACTAATCTATTCCTGCGCCAGTACTATCCTTGACCAACTTACCTCCTTGCTTATTCAATCTGCATGCTTCTATTAATAGCAAATGGTACCCTTCAGAAAGCCCGTATCAGTCCTTGCCAATCTTCTGTTCCCAAATCTAGAAAATGTCATTAAGCTTGCCAAACTTTCTCTCCCCACACAAGGCCTATAACTTCCTTATTGTCTCTGTCAGGATCCATGACAAAACAAGTATCCCAATACCATCTCCTTGTTAGCCTGTTCTACTTCTGGGGGCATCATGGAATTTCTAGAGAGACCTAGGAAGAAATTTTTACTAAAAGATAGGCCTTCAAAAAAACCCAAAGAAAATTATACTTTGTTGAAGACAATAAATAATTTATTATTTCCATGCAAACTACCTTCTGACTACTCAGTACTTTTAAAAACCCACAAAGCAGCTGCATGCAGGTGGGCAACACACTAACAATAAAGGACTTTTTCACAGTTCACAGCAAGAAGCTCCAGCATGATAATGTATATAGGCCTTCTTTTTGTGATTCTGTGGAATGAATCACCAATAGAACCCCTAGGCACGTAACGAGACACTTAAAAGGGAGGAAAAACTGAGAAATGTCTTCTCAAGTCAGCCTGGGACTGCATCATATGGCATGAAGAATGTGAATGAGAAGAGAATGAAAAATGCTTCTAAGGTATCTTAGAACAGCCTCCAAATCATCAGTAATGCCAAATGTATTAACTACATAAAAAAAAAAGAGTATTTGGAGAGCTAATAAAGTAACATACCAAGGTCACCAAGATCAGATGTTCCTGGACCAGAAAGTCTAACCAAGAATTTACCAAGACTTTCTCTAGTACAATATTTTAATCCCATGATGCTACTGTCCAGTTAACACATTCTGCCAGGGAAAGCAAGGTAGTTATAGTTTCAGTACAGTAACTAAATACAAGTATCTAGAAACAAACCATATCACACCTCTGAGCCATCCTCCCAACAATCCCCACTAGAAACTGCCTAGCAAAAGTAGGATAACTAGCAATCATTCTTCTGGTATTTCTGGATGACTAAGAATTAACAAGTGGAGACTTGGTGTACTAATTCACTGGCATGAAGACTTATCTAAAATTCAGATTATTTTCTAAGAGGAGGTGAGGATGTTTGTCATGGATGTTACCACAATACAGTCAACCAAGAACCACTATGTGTCAAAAGACTAGTATTAAAGACTTGCTATTTAGCACAGCAAAAGTTACTTATCCATGCAGACAACAGAATGTCAATCAAATTGCTATTAGGGAAAAAAAAAAACCAGAGTGGAATTTAAAGACTTGTAAGACTCCTTCCTTTGCCGCTTACTCTCCAGTTTCTGTTCTACAATAACCATCTAAATTATCACTCTATAGCCATCTATGATGTCACAAAACACAACTAGAGTCTTGAAAGATTTCAGAGAGAGAACTGTTTACTCACTGAACTGACAAAACAAATAATTTCCTTGAGTACACATTGTGTGAAGTTTTAAAAAGATGCCTAGCAACTCAAAAAACAATAGGGAAAGCATACCTAACTTTGTACATAGTTATTTACAACTAGTTTAAGGCAGTCTGCTCTTTCACTTTTATGTTAATCATGTTGTTACTCTAGACATATGTACAACTGAAAGTTCAGCTCTTTCAACTTTCACAACATTCAAACTTCAGTGCAGTTTCCTATCTATGCGAACATAGCAGCTCATGAGTTGAACTCATTTGCCAGTTTCTGTCCAAAAGAACTAACACCATCTTCTGCAAATTATGTTTACATCTTTGGTAATATTAAAGATCTAAAAGTACTTGGCAGGCGGGGAGGGAGGACAAACAGGAATAAAATGGGGAAACGCATTATATGCTGCCATTATAGTGTACTGCGTTCCACCACACCTTTTGCCCAGTCTCCCCTTACAACGTAGCTAATGTGCATCAGAACAGATCTTTCAAAATGTCTGGATTATTCAGCAAAAACTAACAAAGAAGAGAACAAATTCCAGAACTATATTTACAAGATAGTTTCAAACACTTTAGCTATGAAGATACATCTTTATATTTGCAAACAGTGGGATAAAATTGAGCTTGAGATTGAAGAGTAGCCCAAAAGCCATTTGGTACCTACATGAAATGAATTGGTGGCCTCAGTTCAGTTATCCTGGAGGTCTTATCTACTCGAGTGTAGAGTACTGAAGGTAACATGTGTGATAAAGAAAATAGACTTTGTGGATTCTATTCTGGATTTCAGACATGTGAACAGGTATTTCCTACAGGTCTTGTAATATCAGCTAGTGTGAAGTAGCTGATTTTACAATATACTTTAATTGTATGGTTTTTTTTTCAAATCTGAGCTTTAATATGAGATATACTCAGATACAGCACATATAATAAAGTTACAGAATAATACTTTGGATTACAATCACACTATAAATTCAGTAAAGTTTCAATATACTATGAAGTTGTATCAGCTGGATTCCTAGGCAGTCTCTCTTCAAATTACACATAATTGAGAAAAAGTAATTTGGAAGTCATGTAAGATTACACAATTACAAAAACAGTACAATCAGCTCGTTATCTGACTATTAAGCCAACCACTGCAAACACCAGTTGTACTGAAACCTGTATTTAGCACTTTCAGAACAGTGACATTCCTTTCTGTCACCACCCTCACCACCACCCCCTCCCCCCCCAAGATTAGGGAATTGTAACAGAAAGAATACAATGGCAATGAAACACCACTATCCTACTAAATATTTTTATACATTACATATAACCTATCTACCACAACTCTTAAAAAAATTTATTTGCCAAAGTCTCTTAAAAAAATTTATTTGCCAAAGTGGATTATTTATGGCCTACTGTGATACTAAGCTCATAAAACACAACCTAATGTAATATGAATTGTAACTAGTACACAGCAAATAAAAGATAATGCATATGCCTTTAAAAATATAAGGTTTTCTTACCACATATTTGACAGCACTTATGAACTGGTTATGAAATAACAGATGTTGGGTTTCATCCTCTGGATTTGACGCAGTGTAAAGCATTCCACAAATATTACAGGAAATAGCACCAAATCTCTTCTGTCCTGCATCCTATTTAAGAGAAAAAGAAAAAAAAGAAAGGTATTTTTCAATTGCAAGCACAGTAAATACAGTTTAACAGAACTTTCATCTAATCAGACATGCCTTTTACAACTTATCTTCTGGAAACTCAAAACAGAGGCTAAAATAGAATGAAACAGGAAAAAGAACAAGTACAGAATTTAGAATTCCATCTTTCAAAAACCCACAGAGCCTCATAAGGCTCAGGCATCAATCACAGAGCAAACACTACCTAAAATTAAAATTAGCTCCACCCCCGTTACTTTTGAACAAATGCCTTCTCTTTTATTTTATGAAATACAAACAACAGAATTCTTCCTTCGTTACCCTATTTGCAGTAAACATAAGCATCTTCCACAAAGAAAATTCCCACTGCTGCCCGTCTTTTGGTTATGAATTCCTTTGAGGTGGGCCAAAGGGGAGCCATTTTCCTGAATGTTTGGGAGGATATTATAAAAAAAGTGACGGAGATAATCGTTAAGATCAGCAATACATCTGCAGCAGCTGATCACTACCTTTTTTGATTGCTTTGAAGTAAAAGCAATCAAATAACACTAAGTTTTTTTATCCCTCTCTTAATTGATTAGAAGTCTCATTTAATATACTCTCAGGACTTAAGTTTTAACTATTAATTTTAAGCAGCTAAGTATGATGTTTGACACGCTATCTTAATTGCACATGGTTCATAACTTTTATTTTTCAGACACTGAATAGCAGCTACAATCCAAATGGAAGATCATACTATCTTACTCATGACCCTTTAGGTTATCCTTACTCAATAACCAACTATTACCAAATTTAGGGCACTATTCAGTACCTATTGCTTTGCTATTTATTCATTAAAACAGTGTTGTTAATTTTGAAGTATGGTCAGAAGAAAAAGTTAGTGCCTAATAAAAAAATCAATGTCTGGTGCAGGGGGTGCTTTTTCCAAAAAGCAGAATACTACTAATTAAGTTGAAGTCTCTACCAAAAAAGCACATTTTAAGTTATGGCTTAATGCTCAAATACATTATATTTTTCTTTAACTGCATTTGGAAATTGAGTTTATATAAGCAGCAATAAACGTCACTTTTAATCTATTTCAACATGTATGTCAAATAATAAACAAAAAGTTATTTTAGAGTATAAAATAGGATACTATGTAAGCAAAAGATGACTTGAGGGTGTTTTTTAAAAGGGAATTGATCTGTGCGCACAGATTGAAAGTGCACAATTTGCAAGAAAACAGAGAAAATGCAATTAAGTTCAGGTGATAAGAGCTGAAAATATTCACAGTAAAAAAGCCTACTTTACAGAAGAAAGCATTTTGCAACACAGCAAAAGGTTTTATGAATCATTTCTTACTTCTTCCATCTTCAAAGGTATGTTTAAGTATGTCTAAGAGCTAGATGATAGCTCAGTTCTCCACACAACAGCAACTTATTTCAAGCAGTCATTAGTGAATCTAAAACGTAGGTTATCAGTTTCTTTGCAAGAAGAGACTAAAGGTACAACTGGCCAGGCAAACTGCAGAGTTAAACTTCTCTTAAAGAGCACATATACGGAACTCAGCGAAAAGAAAGAAGCTGAATCTGAGAAGCTATTACTTTAACCGTACATTAATTTATACGTTCCTACTGTATACAGGAGAAACATGCATATATTAATTTTCTGAAGGAAAAAGGAAAGATGAACCCTGAGGTTAGATTTGGCAAGTCAGAATACGATGAGGTTTATAAAGGTGTAAAAATTGAATCCAACACATTTTATCTGAAGAATTCCTTTAAAGCAGCAATATAGTTCAAAACAAAGTACCCATCTGGCCACCAAAATATACTGCATTTCAAGGGTTT